TAGTTTCTCAGCATTAGGGTCACTCTGAACAACATTGTTCAGCTTTTGGCGCCTTTGCCCTGTTCCTTTATCGGACGTATTTGATCTCTTTTAAACGTGTTGATTGCTCCCTTGAGGTTTGGAGGAGTTAGTGCGCTGCATAAACTTGGAAGAAAAGTCAATTTCCATTGGATCTGGGGCCTGTCCCTTTTCAGTTCTTTTATTTGTTTCATGGTAACCATTGCTGTTTTGCTATTTCCTGGCGAACTGAGGCTTTTTTCCGCTGCCCCGTTCGTCCCTAGTCGCGGTTTCTATGGTCTATGGTATGAGCAGGGGAACTCTTTCTGCTATAGCTTTAGCGTATGAGGCCGAAAACATGCTACACTAGCTAGCTTCTGCTGCTCTAGCTAATGCTAAAGCAAATGCTAGTGCTGAGCCGGAAAAACAATAGCTTTGAGTGATTTTTTAAGACCTAAAATAAAGGCGTGGAGCGCGTCAGTCCTAACCTCATAATTCAGAAGCGTTGGCTGCACCGCTTCGTGTGTCATTACGATATTGTTCGTAATCAGAGTAAGTTTTCACTCAACTTCGTCATAATATTCTATTAAGGTCAAGTCACCTTATCTTACCATCTCGAGGCATTGCCTCAGAAGTCGTAGGAAGGTTTTGTCAGCGTAAGAGCAATCTAGTCTGGCTATGATTGCATCAAAGTTCAGGACAGTATTGTGTGACACTAATACCGCTCTGGGTGCTCCTCTGATTTTATTTCTGATGATTGTTACCGTTTGGTAATGCGTGCAGCTACCGTCAAAAGGTTTGAATAATTCGTACGCATCAACGGCTGATTGCCTCCATGCTACGTATTCTTCTGACCCTCCATTAAATTCTGGGACTGATTTTATTATGTGCTGAGGAATATTGCAATTGATCGGTAGGTTATTTACCCGCTCATTCATAGCGTTAAGCTGTGTTTGAAATCTTTGTTCTTGCTGCGCTAATGCTACGCTAACAGCGGCGACTATTAATGCTTGCACTTGGTTTACGTCCATGGCGAAATTCGTTTGGTTTGGGATTTGGCTATCGTTGCTTTCTATGTCCCACTCAATATCACCGTCGCACTCGGTTTTTATATTGCGTAACGCGTCTAACCAACTCATGTGCTCATCTGTAGAAAACACATTCTTAGCAGCGGCTTCAATTTATTTAAAATGGATTTGTTTTGTATAGAATAATTATTTTAGCCGACACAAAGATTATATATATATAATTTTTTAAATAACTCGATATTTCACAATCACATCTGTTACTGTTATTTGGTGCAAGTAATTTGGAGAAAATCTTAAACGAACTTACATGGTATGGAAAGTAGATTAACTCTAACTCTAACTAGGGTGTGAATCCATGTATGTTGGGCGCCAGTTATGTTATTTATTATAGTATGCTCCAAATGAAATTTTGCGTCTGTGCAGAAGTTTTAAGCGGTCTTGCGTTAAATGCGCGTACAGTTTCGCATTTGTTGACAAAAGGACTTGCATATAAGTTATGGTGTAGCGCACTTCTGTGCTTCATTGAGTCTGATAAGAACTAATTTACATTACAAAATTAACTTAAAGCTAAACCTTAAAGTTGAACCCATAAGCTACGAAGCTACAGCCGGAAAGCCGACTCAGCATAAGCGATAACGTAGACATTTGCAGCATAGTCAAATATCAGGTTACCACAGCTGACCTAGTTAGTCAGGCCACTAAACTCATGCGTCAACGGAATATGTCTCAGCATAAGCGATAACGTAGATATTTGCAGCACAATCAAATATCAGGTTACCGCAGCTGAAGTTACAAGTTTCTTAATTCTTATGTGTTAACTTATACAGCAGCGTATACTGGATTTGTCCAAGCAACCCGTCGAATCCCAGAAGTGTTTGTTCAAACTAGTTGACACCGTGCAAAATGTGATGCGAGCCTTCTGGTAAGACATTGGGACGCTCTATTGTTACCACTTCTGCTGCCAAAACTGCCTACCACCACCAGGTATGAGTGGGAGATGAGCCTTCAAACGAACAACATACCAATGGCTCAGGATGTTTTAATATTTATTGAGAAGCGTACCAACAATTTGGTTAAAGGAACTACGAACGGTACAGCAGCTATTCCCGTCCCGTTAAAGCTCATGTGACAGCGGTAAATTCATTTGAGCCGTTACATTCCGGGAAAGGTTCAACTGTTGTTTGCCAACTTTGTTCTAAAGGGTACCAAATATATATATAAATGTCAACGGTTCATCAATCTTTCAATACCCGCACGGTGTAATACAGTTAAGCGGTTCTCAATATGTTTCAATTGTCTTGGGGCTGATCATGAATCTCGCGATTATACATCGCGTGATTGCTTAAGGGCCCATCATCGCCATCATACTATGCTCTGCAAAGCCAAAGTTGCGAACAGTTCACCGACTATGGCACCGATCGGAATATACCCAGGGACGCGCCTTCAACACAGGTCCCACAGGTATATCTACGACAACAGTGACATTTGAGGAAGGTTTGGTCATTTCTCGTAAATGGAGACCGAACCAGTTTACTGGCTACCGCGAAGGTCATCCTTATTGACCACAACGGAAGACAATTTGCATGTCGCGCACTCTGAGACCTGGGCTCTCAGGTGAGTCTCATTACCGATCCTACTACAAAACTTATGTGTCTTCGTAGGCGTCCTGGGGAGATACGAATTGAAGGCATTGGTTCTATCGCTGCAGTCTATAGTAAGGGCCATATAACGGAGCATATGCACGCTGCCTTCGACAACAGTTGTAACTTCTAAGTTGAGGCTTATGTCGTTCCGACAATAACCTCAGAAACGCCAGATACTGATGTAGACACAGAAGCCTGGAATCATTTGAAGAATCTGCCACAGGGGTCTTCAGAGCAACCTTGTGCTTTAAACACCCGTCTTGGCTGCGTAGTGTTCGGACCAGTCATAAGTTCCGCTAATATCTCATCAACCGGCAGTTCGCCAGTTTTTACAAATCGAGCGGCGGCTGATGAACGACTCATGTCCTCGTGAGCAGTACATCACATCTATGCGAGAATACATTGCTCTCGATCATATGGAGGTTGCCAAAGAAGAAGATACACAGTTTTCTGGGCCACAGCTATATGCCAATATTGTCGACATTCTTAACCGTTTTCCGAAATTCAACGTAGCAATTACGGCAACCGTTAAGAAAATGTTCCGACAAATTTTGTTACACAAACGATATCCTAAATGGCAACGAATACGCTGGCGTGAGTCGCCAAATGAACCTTTTCAAGTATATGAATTGAAGACGGTAACTTATGGAATGTAGTCCATTCAACGCAATACGCGCACAGCGTCAATGTGCGAATGGCAATTATAAAGTTATCTATGACCCAAACCGGGCTGCCGAAGCGCGTCATAGCATACTTTATAATTTCTACGATGATGACTATTTGGATAGCGTCGACAGCCACGAACTTGCCGTTACCCGTGCTCAAGACAAGATTTTGAAACAAGAACAATTAATATTGGGAAAGTGGAATTCTAATTCTGCAGATGTATTATCTACGATAACCGGAACATCAGTTTCTGCATCGGAACTGGAGTTGAACAACTCAACAACAAATGTTTTGGGTCTTTACTGGGGTTCAGTGAACTCTTCTTCAAGATAGGAATGGTTGACGATACCTCAATGTATACTTTATACAGTAATAATGGAACACAATTCGTAGGCGCGAATCGTCAAATGCAGGAAGACTTAAAAGCTTGGGTAGCGGCACATGCTCAACAGCATTTGGCAACTGAAGGTACATGTTGGAAGTTCATAACCCCCTCTCATCATGGTGGTCTATGGGAGATGGCAGTTCGTTCGGCTAAAAAGCATCTGCTGAGGGTCATGAGCAGTCAGACATTGAGTTACACTGAGTTGTCCACTCTCTTGAATCGCATTGAGGCGTGTCTGAATTCAAGATCACTCATAGCGCTTTACGATAATCCTGAAGGGTGGATAGCTCTAACAACGGGGGATTTCCTGATCGGACGTTCGCTTAATTTTCGGCCAGATCCCCAATTGCCTTAAGCTCCAGAAAATCGTCTTCGATATTGGCAACGCCTCCAAAAAATGCTGGAGCACTTTTGGCGTCGATGGCAATCCGAATACCTACATACATACTCTTCAGATCGGAATAAATGTACTATAGCCCAATGTTCAGCGTGGCGACGTAGTTCTTATCCGAGGTGAAAATCTACCACCACCGGTTTGGCGTATGAGACGGGTGATTGACGTTCACCCGGGCAGTGATGGCCTGGTACGTACCGTGACGATAGAGTACAATACAAACCAAATATCATCAGATAGCATTCCTATTAAATAGCGGTGTCAGCGACCAGTGCAAAAATTATGCCGCCTAATACCGCCCGCAGAAGAATTACTGAACCGCGAAGGTTCAGCCGGGCAGGATGTTGAAAAGTTAAGTGCAATTAGGATTCAGTTATGCGCATAATTATCAAGGACACAAACCAATGTCAGTTAACTGATTGCTCCTCCTTTTAGCATTGCACTTGTAGACAAGTAATTCCACTCTGGCGTAGGGAACGTAAATGTAAAGTTGAAACATTTAAACTATCCATATATGTATGTACATATATATCATATGGCGTGATTCTATATCCCGTTAACCAAATGTATATTTAAGAAGAAATTCAATAAAGAAGGGGCCTATTCCGTTACAGACTGGTGTAAGATCAAGACGACCTATTATTTGGAGGACATTAATACAATTTTTGTACACTGTCCAACATGTTGCTAGACTTTTGCATGACAAACGACGCGAGTTTAAGTTTTTCTGTTCGCAATCATTTATGACACAGTTAAAACTAACGCATATATGTATTATATGTTTGAGTATATAAATGCATATAGCGCATATTTGTAAACACATATTTCTTTGATAAGCTTAAACATTTTTTGGTAAGTTCTATACTATATTAAGAAAAAATACTCACTTTGCAAGCAGTCAGCATTTAAGAGATCCTTGCATTTTTCATGGCATTTTACGCCACATTCTGTACACCGAACTCCCTGCCGAGCGATGCCCCATAGTAGTCCCTCACATTCGTAGCAGTAAGTTGGCGATGTTGCAGTCCACAGTACGAAATTATGTGGCGTTGTTGATGAAATTGGATAAATAAGCGCTTGTAGAGCCTTTTTGTATACGTGCATTTTCTAATGTTGGACAAACGTCAATTAATAAACTATGCCTCTAAAACATAAATTATTGTTCTAAAAAATAATTATATACTTCAAAATAAAACGTTATGTATTCAAGTTAATTGGAACATATCTTTTAGTATTGACTTTGTTGCAACTCTAACACTATTTAAAATTATTTATTGGACCATTTGTAAAGTAAAATCCCTTCGAGGCTGTTGCTAACAGCTGTCCTCCGTAAGAAAACCTCACAAAGTTTAAGTTTCCGAAAAAAATATTTCAATGTGCGTAAATTAAGTGATCGTTTAATATTCGTATTCGATAATTTTCTCTGATAGGGTACGTTATAGTGTTGAACCTATCCTAACAATATCAGGCCATTATTAAAATGAAAGTCTAATAATCATTTTTTTATATTAAATAGGCGATATAAAAAATTTTATTCGAAATGGTCAGCTGGTACTTTTACACAAGCCCCCAAATGATTCGGCCATTGATCAATAACACGCACAGTTTCTATTGGTATTGACGACGCTACTCGAATCAAAGATTTTTAAGACACTCCAAATTTCTTTCCAACTCTGACCACAAACTGTAGTCCAAATCTGGACTTCCAGACGGTCAACCACCTGCAGCTATGAATCCAGGAATACTGATTTTAGGCCACTGCTAGGTGGCTTTTGCCTTGTGTGCTGAAGCAGAATTTTGCTGAAAGATCTAATGCTTTCCATGAAAGAGAGTATTTCTTAACTGCTTAACCATGCCTTTAAAATATTCTGCTGGTACACTTTTGAACCGCTTTTAACCATTTTTTCACAGAAATGGAGAGGAGACTGCCCACTAAAACGATGCATAACCTGGATCGTGACCAGGTTGAATCCTTGGAATAACATATTTTGCGTCTTTGGAAATTTTTATGTAGAGTTTGTGGTTTTGCTTATTAATAACTTTTCAACAGTGAAACATTTTTCATCTGTAAAAAGGATACCGTCTATGACCACTAGGGTGGGTCGAAAACACTAATGGTTTTTTTTTTGCTTGGTACTCTGAAAAATTGGTTGATAATGTCTCTCCAAGTATAAGGTTTTAATTGTAATCGGAAAGTCCTCCGCCTGACAGTTTTCTATTTTTTTCTTATTATCAGATGGAAAAACTCATATCTTGCTTCCAACTATTTACAAAAATATTTAGTTTTTTGGGTTTTGTAGGAAATTGAACGCTCATCAAAAAAAGGTCTATTACTTTTAACGTATTCTCGTAAGCCGATTAAAAGATATTAACAGTTGAAGTTTGACTATTTTCACGCAAATTGGTTTTTTCTTTTCAATTTTATAAAACAAATAATTTTAAATTGCAAACCTCATAGTCTTCAAGGAAATTTACTGCTAAACTTTTGGTTATTGGTAAGCCAATAACTCCACGAAGCTTTCTGACTGCTCCAAATCAGCCTGGATGACTATTTTTATTGTTAATGCTGTTTTTTTTAAGCATTGGTTCCATCAATCCTTTGTGCCACAGGTAAACAATTTCTTCGTTGGTTTAAAAAAGTATTATAAATTCTAGTTTTTTACCAGGTAAAATGAGTTTAAAGAAGAATAACTTACCAATAAAGGCAGTATTACTTATTGACAACGCGCCCTCTCATCCAAGTGAAACCGAACTAAAAACTGAAGATGGAAACATAATTGTCATGTTTATACCACCGAATGTCCCCCCTCTAATCCAACCGATGGATCAAAATGCGATCAAATTCACAAAACTATATAAATATACGCCGTTACTCCGTTATCTATCGCTTGGGATCGGGTCAGCAATGAAACTCTTGTTTATTGTTGGACAAATATTTCAAATTTAATGAGAAAGGAGGAGGATCCTGAAGATAACATTCCATTAAGTATCCTGAAAACAAAATGGGATGCAGAAATAAACTCTTTAATGGAAACATCAGATATTCTTCTTCATAACTTGAGTCCTCAGGTAAGAATCTTACAACACACCTAGAAAGCACTAGCAAAGCATTGTTTTCCTAACTTTTTAGGTTGAATTTTCACTACCAATGGTTGAAAAGTGGAATGATGATCCTTGTGTTGATGACTCCACTGATATCCAAGAAATGGAAGTAAGCGAAGATAGGGACGATATATATATTTTTTTTACCAATAATAAAAGCTTTTCACTTTCAAGCGTGTAAAAATAATGAATTTAATCATCTGTATGTATAACGCTAACGTGAACTCGCTTGGTTTTAATTATTGTAGTACACGTTACCGCGAGCGCACAGTATATAAAAAATTTCAATTATTTAGATTAAAATTCTTATGATTCAAAGCAGTAAACATTTATTTTGCAGAGGAGCGTAGACTTATGGCGGCTAGTGTATCTACATACACTGCATACAAATTATAATAAGAAATAATGACACTTTTATCTGGGAATTTGTCCTCTCATTCTAAACTTTGTAACAGAATTTATGACAATACTAAGTAATTTGCAATCCTACTAAAGTATTTCTAAGAGTTTGAATGGCATTATTAACACAATTTTAAATCAACCTATATAGTCGAAAGTGTTTTGTTAATAAGTTATTAAACAATACAAATGTTACATATATATACCTACCAGTTCTTCGTCATTCAGGGTGGCTCGCGGTACGGCTGATGTTAATCCGGCATTGCGCTTGGTGGCTGCCATTGTCTATAATACGGTGGTAGTTTTTTTGTTGGGCATTAAACGTTAATATTGTATACATATATATAACACATTAGTTTCAGAACTTTTAAATTACTATTTTAAACCATGATCTAATGTGAAAATTTCGTGTTAATTAAAACATTACTAAAATATGTTTTTCTTTCCCTCTCACAATACAATAGAATTTACAGCACATGCAGGAAAACGCTTGTGATGTCGAACTACTTATGTATACATATATACACGAGATACTGAATGCATATGTAAAAAGGCAAATTATTTGAAACACTCAACAAATGAAGGATAGATATAAATAAGTAAGGAAATCAAAGTTCGAGAGCAGCCGAACTCTTTATACTCACGCAATTTGTAATAATGAAAGGCATGTGAAATATTTCAAGTTGTATGAAAGCTTTTTTTTAATCTCATATCTTTTAATGGGCATATCATTAAATATTAGTTATTACTTTCGATAGAATTTCCTCATTTTTGGTTTCATATCATATTATAGGTCACGTGTTCATGTTGGTTTTCTTCGATATCTAACATTATAGCGGAGATATCTATTTTAAAATAATCCCATCTAGAGCTAATTCACCAAATATGCTGAGCCTGTCAATCAAATTGTCTTAAATATTAAGTGTAAGATGTCTTAGATCTTGAACAAAAGTATACACTGTGACCTGTGGTATATTGTGCCCTCCCCACTTCACAAATATTCATTTGGCCCAGCCCCTAATAAATTTCAGGATCGTGTTAAGATCAGAGAGGCAGTTTGCGACCGATGTACGTACAAATATCATTATATTGAACCATTTTCAGCACCAAACTACATTGTGGTTGCGAAAAATAAATAATTTCATAAAAGTATCTTACAAAATCACTTATGCTGTTGATATTGGGCAGTTGTAACCTAGAAATCCTTATTCGCTACACATATCCGAAATGATATGAGAATATAGACCGATTTCGGTCTCTTTTTTGGTAAGAATTACCACATGTCAAAAATCCTATCCAAGCCTTTTATCGATGTCATTTTCAAACTGAAACTGTTTTTCCGTGGCAATGTTTCAATCCTGCCCATATAAACGCCTCAGATTTACAAAAAACATGTATACCAAGATTAAAGATCTACACTTTTTTTCTGAAGTTACTGCATGCACGGACAAACGGACAGAGCGAGATCCGGATATCAATTCGTTGTATTCTGTTCTATTTATATACCATACACATAACACTATATCTACCTAGTTCTTTGGATTATCAAGTACGTAAAGGTAAACTGTACAACTTGTTGCGATAGTATAAAAACTATGTAATATTCATAGGTATGGATGATAAAAGAGCCTTAGCAATTACAAATAATATTGTGTATATGTGTACTTATATATATATTACTATATAATATATTATATTAATGACAGCTTACATTCATTCTGTAGTCAAACCAAACTAAAAAGAAATGTCAAATGTCCAAAATGTCATGCGAATAAAGAGAAAACAAACTTCCATAGCTGTATGATCTTAATCAACCCTGTAAAATCAGAATTTGTTGTCCATAATTTGTAATATTAAAAATACACATATCGTTAGCGCATTGTATCCATACAAAATAATATAAGCAAACATAAAGAAAACAAGAACGTTAATTTCGGCTGCACCGAAGCAATAATCGCCGCCGCCGCTATACATAGACCCACTGGTCCTTAGTAATGCCAGATGGAGGTTCAGTTTAATTTGAGCTGAAGTATTTCTTTTTGTGAACTTAAAGAGCGACTTGATATCTAATTTTGCAGCGAAGCTCCTAGATATCTAAGGCGAGTTCTAGATAAGCTGAACAGAAGTATATGAGGTGCTCAGCGTGTCTCTCATGCCTACTTCCCTGCACTTTCCGCATGTGAAATCTTATAAAAATATCTTTATCTGTTTATATGGCAACTGTATGCTATAGTGGTGCTATCCGATTTGGTTGATATGTTTGAAGATTATATCATTCCCTTGAAAATCTATGCCAAATTTCGTCTAAATATTTTGTCAAAGAAAACTTTTTTCAATACAAGTACTTAATTTTGATCGGTCAGTTTGTATGGCAGCTATATGGGGTGTGTTCAAAAAATTACGGAAATTTTCGTTTTTTGAAAAAAATTTTACTAATTTTTCTACATTAATGTTGTCATCGTCAAAATAGTCCCCATTCGATATTATGCACTTATGTCAACGCTTCTTCCAATCGTTGAAACAATTCTCTAACACGATTTTTGGGATAGCTTGTAGCTCTTTCAGCGATCTTGTAAACGACCATTTAAGGTCCTCTTTATTTTTGGAAATAGGAAAAAAGTCACACGGAGCCATGTCTGGTGAATATGGAGGCCGGGGCATCGTTGCAGTATTGTTTTTGGACAAGAATTCAAAAACAAATTCTTTGATCAATTTCTTTTAACAAACGAAAACCGCAAAAAACAAACACGTCTAACATTAGCGGCTGCTACATACAAAGTAAGCAAGGAATACAGCTGAAAATTGTATCGTACTTCAGGGACATGTATATCAACATAATAAAAAGTAATTACAATTAAACTCTCCGAACCCGCGAAATTTAATTTGTTATTTTAATTCCTTTTATTTTTTTAACACTACGAAGTGTCCGATTTGACTATGATATTCGAAGATGGTACCGTTGGCATGGAAAATCATTAATGAAAAGCTTCGTAACGATGCACTCTGCGAAAAATATTGTTTTCCAAAAATTTAGAATTGGGTATAAATGTTCTTGAAGAAACGAGTTACTGTAGTTTTGCGAATTCGGTATGCATACGTCGGTATATAAATATACATATGTTATGGAGTTAAATTAGAATACGTATTATGAACTTTTGAACAACATTGCCGAAGTTCATCATGTTCCTTTCAACATAATCGCTTTTTTAAAACTAAAATATGGGTAACTACCGAACAATATACGTTGGAATTTAAGTGAATTTGTGGCATTAAACATTTAATTTTATGTCTCGTAAACCACTTAAATATTTCCAATAAAAATATAGTAATGCAATGATATCTTCTTAACATAGTTCGCAAACTTTTGAAAGCAAGCTGCATCCTACATACTACAAAGTCAAATATTAAAGTGTAACACAATACTATTGCTCAGACGTGTTTTATGAAACTTGAATATTAAGTTTTAACGTTAACATTTTAAATATTAAAAGTATTAAACACTTTTTTTGTTCTATATGAGTACTTTTTCAGTTCGTTTTTCAAAATTTCTGTCGAAATTAACACGCTTTGGACCGTATTTGGAATTTCAGAAAAATGGAAAAAGTGGTGATTCGATTCTTGCTTTGAAAGGGATGCTATATACGGTGGGTTTTTTCTTTCTATACCAACTGTCAAAAATTTGTTTAACAACGCACGCCGGTTTTTAATAAGCCACTGCCAGTTGCACCGAAAACGACTACCAAGGAGTATAATGGAGCATAAGCTCACGATTTCGTATTGGCAAACTGTCAATGAAACGTGCTCGAAAATGTTTAGATAGATGAGATCTATCCTGTTAGGTGGAAACGAGATGACTACCGTTTTCTGGGAATCACAAGTGATCTACTTGTACACCGACTAGCTGAAAAGAGGAGCAAAACGATCACAAAGCTCTGCTATACCGAAATATTGAGCTGACATTGGATATTTGAGTTAGTTGTTTTAAAATCAAACTAGAAAAAACGTGAACTCCGATTGCACCAAAGGTAGAGTACCCTTCTTAAATAAGAAAGGTTTCCATACAATATTTTGATTTTGTTCATTCAATTTATATGACAGCTATATGCTACAGTAATTCCTAAGGAAATTTTTTTCGGATATTATTGCGCCGCCTAAATCAATAATCAATAAAAAGTTTCCATACAAGAACTTGATTTTGATCGTTCAGTTTGTATGACAACTATATTCTATAGTGGTTCGATATTCGCTGTTCCGACAAATGAGCATCTTCTTGGGGAGGAAAAAACGTGTACAAAATTTTAGAGCAATATCTCAAAAACTTAGGGCCGGCAGACAGACGGACATGTACAAAACGACGCAGATCGTTATGCTGATTATTCATATATATATTTTATAGGATCTCCGACGTTTCCTTTTTGATGTTCAAAATATCGTGGTAAACTTAATATACCTTGTTCAGGGTATACAAATCGGGTGAAATTCAAAATATTGTGATCATTTCCAAACGTATGTGTTTATACTCTCGCAACATATTGCACAGATTATAAGAGTTTTATTTAAATTTAATTGTAGTATATCACCCTATACAGGTTTTGGATTTTTGACATTATTATTCAAAAAACTATTGATAGTTAAAAGTTTCTATCAGTTCTCAATAGGCAAAAACGAAAGAATGGCAATTTGCGGAGCATAAATGACGTGTGAATTCTAACTATTGCTACTAATTTAACGGTATAATAAAGGAACACCTACATATGCATATACAAATGAAAAAAGCTGTATATGCCATATAAAAAATAGAAATCTTGTATAACTTTGGAATCTGGCACAAATAAAAAAATATATACGTTATAATTACTACATAATGTTTTGTCTCTTTATCATTCATTCAAGTTCTAGCAAGTAGAAGATTTAACCATTCAACAGTAGTATTGTGCAAACTGTGTAATTAATTAGAGAACTTTTAACAACATTTTTTATTGTAAATGTACTAATTAACCCAACTTTATAGCAATAAATAGTTTTCTCAAGAAAATAAAAAAATCACTTCGTTCAAATTACTGTTTTTAGGTATGCATATATATATATGAATTATTATATTAATTTGATTATTTCATATACCTTGAGCACCTTTTGATCCACATTTGCAAATACAGCAGATTGATATTATTTTTGTCGGTTTATTTTAAATTTGTTGTTGTAATTGTTGTTACATAAACATTGATTTAGAAGTAGAAAATGCAAGCAAAAAATATTTGTGAGTTAATACAAAAATTACAACTCATATTTGCTTACGAGTATATTATTTTATTACTTGACCCATAATAAAAAATGTAATAATAATATTAAAAAAATAAAATGTTATTTAAATGAAGTAATTAACAAATATGTTATTGTACATGTACAAATATATTTAACCAAAACAATAATGTAATTGGAATATAAAATGCTTTAATAGAATTTTAGACTTAAATATGTATGAGACGTTTAAAAGAGAAGTGGAATATTTTAAAATAAATAAAGAAAATCTATATAGAAACATTAACTGAACAGCACCCTATTATTATTTGTACATTACGAGTATATTTAGAATTAGGTGGATGTGTGTGTATGTTTTTTGACTGCATTTCTTCACAATGCGTTCATGTTTATAAATACAATATGTACATTAGGGCAGTGTAGTTACACGTATGTGAGTATTAATGCACTGCATCTCTTGTTTTCAACTGGATAGACATTCGCTTTTCCGAGTCTTCGATTCGCCAAGCAATGGAGAGTAGTGAATCGAACAAACTATACCAAATGGTCAAACTAACGAACAGCAGTTGTGGTGCAATCCTGTGCTAATATGGCCTCTGACGCATACGCAGTTTTGTTGTGATTTTTTCTTCGGTGAAGAACTCTTCTTTCCACGTCGAAAAACGTTTTAGTAAGCCCCAAAGTATGTTCTCCATAAACTATTATACTTGATTTTAACTCTAAACTTTATAGAATCAAAGGAAAATAAACAACTTTGTATTTTCATTTATCATTTGAGCCATTAGCAATAGTATACCATTTTAATGAGGTATTCGCATACTCTTTTGTACGAATTCAACTCGATAACTTTGTGGTTGGATTAGCATGTAATTGTTTTGACAAGAGAGCAGCGCGCAAATATAGCGAATAGAAGTATAGCAAATCGAAGACAGCTATTAACCGTTCGCTTATAATGAACAATTCTCTAATTTAACTCATGCATCGGAATGTGCCTTAATTTTGTAAAATTTATTTTTTCTGACAAATATGATTTCGTAGGACGTTCATAAATGTGGTATAATATATACCCTATATGTATGGTATGTTTAGTGGCCGGAACAGTGACACAAGTCACTGGCCAAATGCAAAATATTGTTTCGAAATTCAATGACTTCTGCTTTGTTTAATGCAATGATAACGTTAATAAACATTTCGTTGTGAATTCGAAAAATGAATCTGAAATTTGGAACTTTGAGGTTCTTCTTAAGCTGTGAGTGTACATGTATTAAGTAAATACATATCTATGTATATGCATAAGTATGTATGTATTCATTTATTAACAAAAACGTAAGCGCCATATAAATTGTTTTTTATTTCATGACTACATTGGTGAGTAGGTCTGTATATGAAAGTAAATACACAGCACTATAATTTTTTATATGTATCACACATACATTTTTAGTTTTTTGCACAACTGTAATATTATGTACATATATATATAAATATATAATATAATGAAGTTATTTATTTGATGACTTAAATGCAAAAACATACTACTTACAAGTTCTGACACAAGTGGAATGGATTTCCGACGAGGACGTATATCCGGCATACTGTCAATGTTACTGTAGAATGGATTGTCCCCCGGGTGCCCGCTCCCCCGTATGCCAATATCTCCAGGTCCACTGCCATTCTTCATTGTATGGAAGATAAATGAAGTTTCGTTAGTAATGTATCAATATATTTTGAAAACTATTGTTATAATTGTTTTATAGTGTATTGGTATAAAATTAGTTATTATTGAGATATATTAAGGAAATTCAAACTAGCTGGAGTTTCTATGAAATATTAAAAAAAGGTGCGTACAAAATTAAATATTTTTTAACAAATCTTAATTTTTCTCCCAAAAAATGCACATTGTAAGATTGAGTAATATCTTGAAACGAAGCAAGAAGTTTATAGTTTCATTAAGTTGTTATAATAATATTAGAAAAAATAGCAGCAATTAATTTTAACAAAGAAAGTATTTACTTAAGTTGCACCGAAGCTAGAGTTCCCTTCCCAAATACAAAAAATCCCAGAACTTGATTTTGATCCTTCAGTTTGTATGGCTGCAATTTGCTACAGTGGTCCGATCTAAAAATTTTTTCGGATATTGTACTCGTACTTGGTACAATTAGTGTTTTTGCAAATTTAGTGCGGAATTGAAGTAAGTATTTTATAATAGTTTTCTATCAAATGTTTACGTGCGTTGATTAAAATTCTCTCTAATGGTACGTATAATTTTTTTTGATTTTGAAATATTTTACGTTGGATCCCACAGAACGCGCTACTGTCGCTGAACCAAATCTTCAATCAGATTCCATATCAATTCCGGTTTGTCCCAACAGATGGTGTTGCAGTCAAATTCAGAAACATATTTGAAACTTCAAATAGTTATTGTATTATAAAAAGTCGTGTGTGTTGTGAAATATTACATAAGGTTTAGTGTTTTTGTAAGTGTTTTGCATTTTAATTGTATGAAGATACACAATATATTCGACTTCCAAAGAATTTTGCAACGTGGTGGCAACCAAAGATGAATTAAAAAGAAGTATCTTTCCAAATTTGCGATATAGGTATACTGAAAAAGCTATTTTAGCCGCAAAGTTTTTAGATGTTGACGAAATTAATTTGAAAATGCATACAACAATCGATTGACACTGTTATTGATTCTGATGAAGTTGTCAATTATTCTCGAATGCCACCATATAATTTGCCGTTGAAAATTGGCTTACCAATAATTTTGTTTCAAAAGTTGAATTCCCCAAAATTGGGTAATAGAACGGGGCTGGTCATAACAAAAATCATGCGCAACATTTTTGAAGCCAAATGAAGGAAAATGTCAACTTCCACCACAGATCCCAATGATTCCTTCAGATTCGCCTATTCCGTTTAAATGTTTACGATTTAAAAACCTTTTAGCATTTGCTATGACCATTGATAAAGCACAAGGTCAAACAATGATATTTTGTAGCTTAGATCTAGAAAATCCGTGCTTTTCGCACGGGCAATTATATAATATAATATGTTGCGAGTTCCAGGGTTGAAAAACCATCGAATTTGTTTATATATATCTCTCAAGAGTTAACCAAAAATATTGTACATCCAATAGCATTACGATAAGTTAAGATTTAGGGCAAATTAAAAAAAACTGTTATATAATAGTTAGAGTTTCAACTTTTACGCGTTTATTAATAAAAAAATAAGTTTTTAATTAAATATCAAGTTACAGTTTATTCAAAAAATGTTTAAATATACGAATTAAATGTATGTGTATAGAGCAACGTCCGCCGGGTCCGGTAGTGTACATATGTACCTATATTAAATAAAGTCGTGTTCGTCATACTATTGTATTTTTAACTCTATAACGACTGAACAGATTTTGATGAAAATTAAGGAGAAGTAGCTTAGAACCAGGAGCCGGACGTGGAATTATTATCCTATTCCCGTGTTATCCATGATCCAAATTCATGTAAGAATCGTTTGAATATTTAATTACTTCAAAAAATAACAACACATACATATATCAGATTTATGCTTCATTTCTACGCGGTTATATTCAGCATGAGTAAAGCCTATAAGCATACATGGCAAATATTAAATTCGAGCTGAATTTTGAATGGAGTGATTCTGAGGGCTGCCACGGGAAATTTTTTTCAATTCGAAATCTGTTTAATATTAACAAACACTTTCATAACATCGGCTTTGAATTAGTTGAAAAGTTAAAGAATGAAAGAAAATTTTATAAATTTGGGTAACATTTTTGGTAAATAATTATATTTTCGGCAAAAAAAAGCAATACGGGAGCTCTTCTTTAATTAGCTTAAATGTAAATCATGTGTTTAATGTCTTTTAAATGGAAAGACAAGTGGAATTGTTTATAATTTTCTTTAAATACGTGCAAATCAGTCAGCAAATGCTAATAGATAAAATATTTATATTTAATTTCTCAAACAACTTAACTCTAAAGTCGTTGATACACCCGAGTTACCACTCTATCTATGTAAAGAAAATGTATAATTCTATCCGATTAGACCATTTAACTCGTGGTCAAAAAGTGCTTATGCATGTAGGTTGAACTTACCCGTGTAGAATATAACCGAGTTATCTTCGCTTTACTTTAGCCAATGAGATTAATGAATGTTTAGACTATAGTAATTATTAAGGTAAACCACCACCATAAATATGCGCGTACAATTGCAAATCGATTCACCAGCACAAATATATTCAGAACAATTGCTAGATATTGGGATGTAGAATAGAACTGCAACTAAATAAGCAATAATATACAATAAACTGCCAAGCAATTTCAGCTCTGCTGTTCACGAAAAAAATTTATTAATTGAGAGTATTTTTCCGGAAATAAAAATTAACTATTCGGATCATAACTGGCTAAATAATCGGGCTACAATAGCGCCCACAAGTGTAGATGTTGACGAAATTAATTTCCAGAGACAACAATTGTTTCCAGGCGATCTGATGTATTTTAAATCAATCGCTATTGTTGTTGAATGAAATCGTTAATTTTAAAATTGTGTATCTAGATTCGCTAGAAATATCCAGAGCTAAAAAATAGGTTACAACACCTTGTGTTTGGTAAGTATTTTAATTGAGTCGCACTGCCATCATCTACTGTGAACTGTCCAAGAATTTATTTACCTAATTTGAATTCAAGATGTAAAAGACACGTCCTGAAACCCTACAATCGGCTTGTAGAGGAAAGTAAAGATTAATTCCCAAAGATTCTTTATTTACCAGTTTCTGTAATTTCAGTACTCAACAGATATATACAACATCAAGAAACAGTGTAACAGATTGCTTTGAGTTGATAATAGGGATTTCGATAACCTCTTCAATGTAAATCAGAGTAGAAAATAAGTCCTCCATTCGAAAGAAATGCCTGTGCTAGATTACCAAATTTTGCTAAACTACATCAGGCAGCCTTTTTATTTATTCAATTGAAATTCTTAACTTTAAAATGACATGCTCTTACCTAACTTTAGAATAAAAAAAAATGGTCGTATATACATTTGTTAATCTTGGACTGATTTATGATAGTTTAGGATTAACCGTCACACAAACTCAGTTTTTGTGTGAATATTGGAATGCTTACCTTTTCCCGATCTTTACTAAGTTCGTCGTCTTTAGCTTTAACTTGATAATTTTTTTCTTCGATTTTACGTTCCTTGAGAGTTTTCAGTAGTTTCCATTTGCTACTCCCAAGTACTGATGTATTGATATTTGTACCTTGTATCCCATTAACTTCAGCACTAGAATCATGGCTTAATAGAAGTGTTTCCATTTGTGTGTTGTCTTCTGTTTCTTTCTCAATTTCTGTTAAATGCTCATGAATCTGGTTAACAGTTGGAGTGGTTACATGATTAATTTCAAACCCTGTATGTTCGTCCTCTGCATCAGCAAAATTTTGGTCCACCCTCACGCTGTCATTAGATACCTCAATGGTTTCTTGATTGCTTTTAAATGCTTGATAACTTGGAACCGTCTTATAAATACTCTGGTCGCCTTCCAGTTCCTCACTTAGTTCAGCTGGTGTATCTGGACCAAGTGTGGCACCGGATGACATGCTTACATTTTTTACATCATCAGCCTCGTTAACATCAACATATGCATCTTCGTCCATTACATATGATTTCATAGCAGGATTTAGCAATAGGTCATTTTGCGTTGGTTTGCTAGTGCTTTCGTTTTCATTTTGTATAATTCTAGCTATGGTTGCCCGTTTATGCTTATCACTGCTACTGCTACCACGCCCGTGACTAACTTTTGACTTTTCTTTATAAAGATTGATTCCGCTGGCCACTTCCTCTTCAGATGAATATGAAGAGCTAGTCATATGTTGATGTTGCAGCTCATGATTATATGCTTCATTCTCCTTATCGTTGTGATTATCGGCCATACGTCGGCGATCACGTCGTTTGCGAAAACGCTTATTTTGAGCTACACGTTCGCCACTGATATACTGTGTTTTCTGTTCTGGCTGGTGCTGTTGAAGGTTATGACATTTTGCGAATTTATTGGGTGCTACATTATCAGCGCATATGAAGATCATCTTAGTGCCTTCATTCATAGTTTCACTGCTACCAGTTTCCTCCACAGCTTTTTCCTCAGCATCCACATCAGAATACCCATTTGGCGAATCATCTCCATTGATATCTTGCCATGCGCTATGCAAATCAGTAACTTTCGTCACACGTTCAAAGTTACTGGAGGAAGATTTCGTGGAAAAGCAGCGATTGTGTGAAGATTTCGTGGTCACTACTTTAAATGCTGTCTCCACTTTGGCGTTGTCCATTGCTGGAATTTCCTTGACAACATATTTCAATTCTCTTAGGACTTCAGACATAAGCTGTTTGATAGTTTTGTTTGGTTCGTTTTCATCGGAAAATGGTAAACCGGTATTATTGAAAACTTTATTGCCACTATCAGATGTAGGATATGAATTTGTATGTTGGGAATTATTGTAGCAAATTGTGCTTTTCAGCGTCAATTGATCGATTTGTGAAAACAATTGCACATTTTCAACCAGGGGTATATCTACTCTTAACTTCTTATCACTTTCATCTAGGTATTCAGCTTTTCGTTGTTGTTCCAATTCTTCCAACTGCCTTAGCTCATAACAAAAGTATTCATCATCTGTATCAATGCTATCCTCAGTGCTTTGACGACGTGATGATGATAGCGTGCGAAAAGAATGCTGACTACGATTGTCATCTTCTTCAGTTAAACCTAGAGGGACATCGAGCGACTGTTGTGCTGTCAAACTTCGATTACCAAATTCACTTGTTATCGGTTCTGTTATCAGTAATGGTGGTGAATGTGAGTCATCAGCAGATGTTACAGCTATTGACGGTACTTCTGTCTCATTGAAAACACTACAATCATTATAATTCCTTTCTTCGTGATCCGCGACAGTGGACGAAGTCCTTTGATTGGGGGTTTTTATAAAGTCAAGCAAGAGATGAGAGTTATCCAACGCATTTAAATTATTATTTTTTAAAACTGATTCATTTGCACCATATATTTTTGTTTTAACTTGATTTTGCTGATTTTGGAAACCTCCCGTAATCGTACATAAGTTACTCGTAGTTATATATTGATCTGGTGGTTTCAATACTGTTGACTTTAACGCTTCTTTTTCTTTTGCCTCTTCCGTTACTGTTTCTTGGTGACTTATAAATGTATTCGAGGGAATCACCTTGCAATTTGAATCACGCATATTATTTTCTTTAATTTCATTCTGTTCAGATATGTGGTCTGCTTCGTCATTATCCTTAACTTGCGCAACATCACCCAGCTCACTAACATTTACACTAGAAAACACAGCTTTCTCATAGTCGCCTTCGTCATCATCTTCCCTGACTTCAATCTCCTTACTAAAAAACTCCATACCGTACGGTTGGAGTTGAATTTTATACGCATCATATATATCAGTATCACATCCATCGTCACGTCTTTCAGTCGCCATTGGAAACGTACCAAAATTTCCAATATCACTGACTATAGAGCCTTCATTATCCGAAGAATTAAAACTTGGTAAATCTGCTTCTGTATCTGATACACTATATACTATAGGCGCAGCACCAGAATCCGTAACACCACGAGCTATAAAACTGTGACGCCTGTATCCGGTTTTGGCTTTCTGCATGAAGTTATTCACAGTCGTTGAAAACCGTGAATGTTTTTTTTGGTTACCGGCTACACCCTTTTTATTTGTATCACCGCTATTTAAATTGCTGGCAGCAACTATGTCTGATGTAGTTGCGCTAGCAACGGTGCGTGCACCTGGATGCGTAGCACGCTGCACCAGTTGGGTAGGAAGTTTGTGGAAACGTTTCGAAAAATCAAAACTGCCACCCAAATGTTTACCGCCACGCTGCTGTTGGTGCAAGCTTGTTGTTGGCGCTGTAGCTACTTTATGCACTGACGCTTTGCTGCAATTACGTCCGACGTGCTCACGGGTCAAATTTAATGATGCCATGTGACCAGCAACTAAAGGGTAACAATCATCTTGGCTAGTTTGAAAAGGTCTTTTATCTTTCGAGTAATTGTTATAGCCCGAAGGCAATGACCGCGAACGGCCATATCGCAATGATCGCTTCAATTTCAAATTATCCGGCAAAAAATTAGTAAACTTATTCCAAACTTTAAATGTAGTGCTCGATGTTGTTTCACTACCGGATAAATCAACAACGTCGGCAGTCGTTGTAGATGCTACTATATCAATATCTTGTACTGCATTAGCATCATAATGCGCACCATGTAAAACATAGGGAGTGAACAACTCTGTATTCTTGTTCTCTTTTGATTGAAACACATAATTTCGAGAATCGTTCAAATGATTATGGCTTAATATCTGATTGCCTTGTTCATTGACGGCTTCTGATGAGTGATGTTGCGCGTAATGTTGGTGATGTGTGTTTACTGTATTTTTTATTGACACATTAGACATAGCGGGAGCTAAGCATCTTAAACCATGATTATATGACATTTGCTGCTGAGGTTGATATTGATAAGGGTAGTCTAAATGATTCTTACCAAAAAAATTTAGGTTATTGCTGCTATTATAATCTGTAATACCATTAGAGGTTGGATAATAAACAAGACGATCAGTAAGGTGTCGTTTACGTGTTTGGGATGATTCACATGTACCCTCAGACTGTATATATATAGTCCTATCAGAAGTGGTACTTCCGACCCCTGTGAACGTAGTTGTATAGGCGGGTGTGCGCAAAAGATCCGGCATACGCCTGTTTTGATTACCTAATATGTTTGTTACGATGTGCTGCTGTCTTTTTGGTGTCTGCCGTTGTCGCTGCTGATGACCCCACCCAAGGACTTCATCGACAGTGCGTACATGCTTATCCATAGCGTCATCTTTGAGTTTGTTAAAAATGGATTTGCTCTCATAGACTGAACAAATGGGCATGTTTTTAGACAACTCACATATATAGTTCAAATTTTCTTCGTTCAGCAGGTAATTATTTTCCGTCGATAATGGTTCTTGCTGTAAATGTTTGGACATTAAATTATTTTTCTGATTTATTTTATCGTCAGTGTTGGAAAAAGTGGCATTAGTTGTGCTAATTATCGTTGGTATGATAGAATTAGCGGTCGCTATGGTAACGGCACGTCTTGTGATCTCCAGTTCTGCATTAGTAGCTCTAGTAACATTTAATCTCAAATCACTATTATCCGAATCCAGATCAGCGGGCATCCAAACCTTTGAATTTAACCTCGAGCTACACAAATTAGTGTCACTATTATTTACTGATTCCAATCCCTCAGACATTAGTAGCTGCAAACTCATATACTTATTAAGAAATGGATTGTATTTATCAGCGTTCGTACTATCACTAACAACGCCAACTCCGTATAACGTAGAGTTGAGGGACTTTTCCCAGCTTGATAGACCGCTTATAGATGAAATACCAGAATCCGATTTGGTTTGTTTTGGTCCCGCATGTTGCAATTCTAAATGTCCACTGCTATATGATGCACTATGTGTTAGAAATGGATTTAAGGCGCTCATTGATGGAACCATTACGTTATTTATGCCTGCATCGGTATCATCATTTACTAAATGCAAGGTTGCCTTTTCTTGAGCACAATTGTTATCGTTATCAATGGCTGTATTTGCATCGTCGTCGTAGGGTGCTGGCGGTGGTGGGCTTTGAGTCCCACCAACACCAGCTAAGAGTATGCCATCAATGTCCAGAGCTAAAATGTCTTGATATGCTTTTGTTTTACTTTGGTATTCAGGATGTTGCAAATGTAGAAGAAAAAGCATGCTATTGTGTCGCTCCAGGCTTCGTTTTAGCGACTTAATATACTCATCATTATTGTAAAGTGTTGCTACCGAAGTAGCGCGACCCAATGTTTTTGCTTGACTATTAGGTGATTCATTTGTTGTTTGCAACAGCATATGCTCCAACTCAATATCCATGCCACCCAAATAATTGCATTGTGGTTTCTGTTTGAGCCCACTTTTATTGTTTGTAATGTCATTAAGGTTGGTTGTGGAGCCTGTGGTAGAATCATGCAATTTTTTAAGACGCATCTCATGTTCTTGAGTTTCTAAAATTTTTAGTTGTTCATCCAAATTGGAATTGTTCCGAAGCAAGTGAGCGCTATAGTCAAAATGTGCCTTATCACGTTCGCTGGAACTGTTTGAGACAGATGTCATTTTATCTGTGTCAAGTATTGTTTGTGTTCGGTGTGTATCTACATAATCGTCAAATACATGTGCTTTCGTTCGATTTTTAGTTTTTTTTTGCTTTTTCTCAGATTTTTTTATGTTAGTCGACTCATCTTCTTTGTCATCAGCCAGATTATTTTCTGATTTTTTTATTAGCACCAATTCATCATCGGTTAAATACTTTCGTGTATAGTCGTCAAAGGAGTTGCCAACTAATTTTTTCAGCGTATCTATATTACGTTCTAAGTTTTTCATAACTCTTTCGAATTTCCGTGATTTATCATTTCCAAGTGTACGAAGCTCCTCGCCCATTGTTATCGGATTCAGAAGCAGTAATAAAAGATTCTTATTAACTCTATGTATATTTTCGAAAAAAGTATGCTCTTTTTTAACCAGTGTGCGTAATGTACTTATTTGTGCAGAGTTTAATACTTGAAGATCTTGTATTTTGTTTATCTCAATTAGCAATATCTCACCAGTGCTGTCGAGGAGCACGGTTTTGTCTTCATTCAGCTGGTTACAATAATGAGCCTGAGATCCGCCAAGTTTTTTAGCACTGTATTCGTCTTCCGAAGATGAAGCGGTTGAATAGTAATCACAGTTATTTGAGTTATTGTGAACATATCGGTCTTCGTTGAACGTTAAATTAAAATGCATTGGCGAATTCTTAGGCAGTATAGGACTTGATGTATGAACGACAGCAGCTTGGGCCAGCGCGCTCTTCAGATTGTTCAACATTTCCATTTCGTCTTTGTGATGTTTTTTTTTTTTGTGTTTTTTAGTGTCCTTCGTTCTTCTTGCGACTGTTGTTGCGGTTTTTGTATTTGTTGCCGTTGTCGTTGTTATAATATTTGTGCAAGCTTCTAAAGTTTTTGTTGCTATAACTGCTGTTTTTGCAAGTGACTGAGAGTTAGCTATATCGGGATTTATTGCAAGTATAGCGCCAATACCACTCTCTTCATTATCTTCGCGAATTATATCCAAAGCAGAATTACTACGCGTGCTCAAACTGCTCAGTATATGTTCATTTGTGGCTTCACTATGCTGTAATAAACTTTCCACATTAGAAATTTCTGTGCTAAGAGTGTCATCACGATACGCCTCGTTGAGTGTTTTATAAAAGTCTTCGGTCACTTCACTATTGTTTCTAATAACTGGCAACATTGATCCACCCGTATCCTCTATTGGCACATCCGCTTGCAAGAGTTCGACTTGCTTAGAGGCCACTTGCTGAAAAAACTTAGCCTGCTCAATAAAATCATTCATATCCATATCTCTTGTGCTATCAATATCTTTCTTTTCGCAATAAATTTCCGGGCTCATATGCGTTGAGTGTGTATTCGATACTGATGCATTTGTATCTATTGCCTGCACTGTCGATAGTGCCACAGTGAATATCCCATCATCTAACATCGGCAAATTCTGCATACTACCTGTTATATTAGTGGCTTCATCAAAACTGCTTTTATATTGATCAAGACTGTTAAAACTTTTTGGCTGTGTAAGTTTCCCCAACAGTTTACGACTATACAGAAATTCATGCAACAGTTCATTTTTGGCATCGTTAGCCAACATTTGTTGTTGATAATAATGTAGTAGATCGGCATCTGTTACTTTCGAAGAGTCGAGCCAGCTTAAATGGGAATTTGGCTCTTGACGTGACTTAGTTTCTTCCGATAATATAGCTGGTACTTGCTGATTTCTTAGACATTGTCGTTGTACTGAGCTCAACGTTACTAATGAGCTGCTTAGATTACGTTCAGCAAGTTTTTCCAGTGGTACATTAGCATCATCACCCATTACAACGAGTTTGTGCTCAAATTTACGTTGGCGATCGCGCCCAACTGCTAATACCTGCAAATGGTTGTTGTAGTCGATTTTGTTCTCATGTTGCAAGTGTCGGTGTATGGCATTTATTTCACCAGAGTCGCAAATATTATGTGTTTGCTGCTGCAATAATTTGTCAAGCGCGTCCAATTCGCTGTTTATTCGTACGGCATCCAGCGCATCTAATGTGTCGTTCTTCAGCTCTTGTAACAGGTTATTATATTGCTTTGAAGTACATTCCGTATCAATATCTTGCAATAGTATAGCAGCGGAATTATTCAAAAGTATGGCCTGTTGTTCGGCTTCAACCAAATTAGACTTCAATAATTGTTCACTTTGCAGCCAGTAATCGAACGGTGTAAACTTTTGTTTCTCGGCTGATTTTGAGGTATCTAAAAAGCTTAAATGTGGCATACAATCAGATGAAAGCTGTTGATTCTGCTCTTGTTGTTCTTGTTTAAGTGATATTAAACCTATTAAATTATTCACAACTGACTGCTGTTCAAACGATATCTTTTCGAGTTTTTCCAACCGCGCCCATATTTTACCATACTCACCAGATAACAAATCGAGCGCACGCCAAGCAAATTTTAACTCTGTATCTAATAAATTAATACGCGTCGCAATCTTTTCCATATAATCTGAAATTATATAATCGGAATGCTGTTGTGAATTGTACAACTGGCAGAGTTGCTGCTCGCTGGTGATAGATACCATGCTGCCGGCTTGTGGTGCAGAACCGAGGGCTCTCAAAGATTTACTAACGCTATTTGATGCTAAATTATTTGCGCTTAAATTGTGCCCTGCGCCAACTTGGACAGATTCATTCCCGATATCATCGAGTCGTTCACCGATGCTACTGCTGACGTTCTTATCGCAGTAAGGTTTGTTGGCTTCACTTAAGACAGCACCAATACTGTCAACATTTTTATCATAGTTCGTATTGTTGATGTTGCTGAAAATGTTCGTAGAATTTTTGTTACTATTAAAATTAAAGTCGCAATTGCGGTAGTTTTCATTTGTATCAGAAAGTTGGAGCTTTTTTTGCTGCTGTTGGTATTGTGATGATGGTTTAATTTTTAGTAAATCTTTATGTAATGGTTGCGGTTGCTGTTCATATTGGTTTGTTAACGGTAATTTCTCGGAGTGTTTAGGAAACTCTTGACTTTTATGCTTTTGATTTATAGCCTTTTCAGCGCATAAATGTTTTTTAGATTGCCCCATTATTTTCTGCTGCTGCTGTGGGACAGACATATAATCGTTCGCATTTGTTGATGTCATACCACGGAAATTTGTTGAGATACTAGAATCTGTCGAAACATTGTTATAAACTCTAAGTTTTTGCCGTTGCTCCAGATAACGATTGGGCTTCTTTAGTTTTACTTCGCATTGCTGCTGCTGTTCTTGTTGTGGGTTTTTGTCTTTGGCAATACTATCATGTCCATCATTACCAATGTTTTTAATGCAAACGTTCTCATCATTTACCGTTTTTGTAGTAGAATTGATTAGAGACATGATAAAACGTTTCCTTCTTCAAAATATATATACTAGTGTTTTTAACAATTAAAAACCTTAGCCTTCGCTTCTTAGCAATGGTCCAAATATGTTGAGTAGTAGGAAGCTATAATTAGTAAGCTTTTATTTAATTTCACTGAACACTTATAGCGTTTTCTTTTCTCGATGAAAAAGTTGTCTCATTTAATGGCAACCTTATAAAAAAAAGAAAAAAAAATGATTCGCTATTTCCATTATTAAACTGACCAAAATTGACCGAGATGATAAAATCTTGATTTAAAAAAATAACTATTAAAAACGAAAAATAAACATTCGTTGGACAACTTCATCACTCTTACGTTTTGACAAGGGTAGAAAATGTTGCATTATTTCTGGTAAGAATTCAACATTCTAAGAAAAAAAGAGACGAACCTGACAAATTTTTTAAAAAATAACATGCAAATTTGACAGCTTGTGAGAAAAGAAAACGCTATTATATTTATGTGCATCCATACGCTTTAATACTTGTATGTGTGGAGGAATTTGTAGCGTACAGTAAATACTACATGAGTCCATTTCCATATCATAACAACACGTCACCACTTTCTTTCGCTTTTCCGAAGTGCCGTATTATGCAATATTATACTTAATCTAAAACTGGAGCATTTTAGAGGTTTCCAAAACCTTCTTTTAATTTTCAAAATCATAATCCCAAAACTATTTTAAATTGTTATATTAACACATTATGAACACAGCAATTCCTTGTTTGTTATTTATGTATTATTTATATGTAACGTACAGAAACGAACACTGCCATGTCTTGGATTTTTATTTTATATCGGTATAAAACGAGAACCACATATACAAAATTTAAAGAATATGGCGTAGAACATAAAATTTAATCTGAAATATTAAATGAAGTAATATTTAACAACCGATAAGGGGAAAGTTTAGGTGCAACCAAGCATTATACCTATGTATTATATATGGTATATATTATCAAGGTGCATACCGATATTACTAATTATTAGTAAATCGCATAGTGTTAATGAAAATATTATCGCTTAATTTTAAAGATACCCGCTCTAACATAGCTATGAGCGAAGTAAAGTCAACCAATACGTGAAAAATGTTTTGAGTATATGGGTTATAGGACAGATATCATCATGGGATTAATCACCCATATTGTCGATACTTAGTCATTTCACTGTAATCACAATAATTTGATTATAAAACCTAATCTTTGTATATGTGTGATTTTTGGACATGGTTATTATCTGATTCAATCCATTTTTAAACCGAGTCACGAAATGCTAAGCTAAAGATTTTACAACTTACTCAGGGTATTACATGTATGTATCAAACCCGGACAAACATTCGATAGAAATCAATAGGTCTCGAGCACTTCTGAGCTATCTATGCACAATAGACCAACAAAATACATACCAAACGAACTCTAATTAAGATTAATAAGGTATTTTTACTAATTTTTTTACATTTTTCTTTATTTTTTAAATATATTTCATAACAAGTATGGAAGGGCTAAGTTCGGATGTAACCGAACATTTTATACTCTCGCAAAGTCAAATGGTATACTCGTTTGAGATTTCTTTGTGGATTGACTGATACTTTCGTTAGAAGGTCAACTATAGGCACTGGGGTCCACATATGTAGTACTTAGGGGCTTGAACAGTTTTGGTTCGATTTAGACAAGTTTTGGTCACAAGGTGGCATACGTTAAACGCATTATTCACGCAAAGTTTTACCTCGATACAATCATTGTTGCTTGGTTTGCATACTGGAAAGTGAAAGAATCAGATGGAATTTAAAATGGTGTTATATGGGAAATAGGCGTGGTTGTAGTCCGATTTCGCCCATTTTCGCACTATACATAGAAATATGAAAAGAACGTTATGCACCGAATTTGGTTGAAATCGGTTAAGCAGATCCCAAGATAAGGGGTTTCACCTAAAAGTGGGCGGTGCCACGCCCACTGACTAATTTTGAACAAGGTTCCCATAAAGTCATCTCATACCATCCCGAAGATAAAATGTAATGTCTCTGGCGTGTTTAGTGCTTGGTTTATCGCGCTTGTCACCCGATTTCAACCATTTTCACACTGTAGGTAGAGGTTATTATTATAGCATTAGCGGTTTAGGAGATATGCACATTAAACCTATTAGGGGCGGGACCATGCCCACTTTAAAAAAAATTTTAACTGCAGATTCCCCTCCTTAATGTGATCCTGTGTACCAAATAACAGTCTTGTATCTTATTGCGGAGCTTAGTTATGGCAATTTATTTGTTTTTGATTAATGGCATTTTGTGGGCGTGGCAGTGGTCCGATTACGCCCATCTGCAACACCAACCGTCGCACGATACCAAGAAATATGTCTACCAAGTGTCATAAAGATATCTCAATTTTTACTCAAGTTAGAGCTTGCACGGACGGACAGACAGTCACCCGGATTTCAACTCGTCTTTTCATCCTGATCAGTTATATATAAATAACCCTATATTTAACTCGATTAGTTTTAGGTGATACAAACAACCTTTGTAGCAACAGGTTGCGAGAGTATAAAAATTGTTTAAGAAACTCGGAAGTCTAAATACGGCAATTTCTAAGATCTGGAGCAAATGGAACCCAGTATACCAGCAGTGCTTCCAACTATCTGAAGCATCTTTGTAGTATACCGTTATTTGCAAATAAGATTGCTTCTTTACTCTTAATATTTTCACGGTGCCTTTTTTTTTTAAATGATCAAAGAAATTATTCAACACTTACTTCGACGGCAACTAGTTATAAATGATCATAAAAACAATAAATCTCTATGTTTTTTTTATTTTGTAAAAACACCCCTTTTGGGAATACCAATCACGGTACCAAGAAACATGTCTACCAAGTTTCATAAAGATATCTTAATTTTTACTCAACTTAGAGCTTGCACGGACGGACGGACAGACGTTATCCGAAATAATTATGTGACAGTGCGCCCGAACCCCCTTCTTGTCTGCGATCGTTCAACTCGCAAAAAGCAAAAAGTGTAGACAAAAGTCATTGTTTGTGCGGGGCAAGAAGAAGCAAGCATCAGCGTACGTGTATTTAAAAATGTATGTGTGATTATCACATTTGTGTAAATACGCATAATAAGGGAATATTCAATAAAGTTACATATGAACACATTTCTTTGAAATATTTTAATTATCTCAGGAAGTAAAATATGCTATTAAAGTAATTGAATTGAGATATGCTTAGATTCCAATTAATAAAATAAAAAATTTAATAAAATTTAAGTTTCAAGAGTTTTAGGATTCGAACGTATAGGCTCGTATTCGGATTGATCTTAACTCCTTCAAACTTACGACCTCAGCCACCTCAAAAGTGGAAACGCGGCTGCTTAGCCACCGTTTTATTGTTATCCTTTGCTCAATAAGCAATTGCTCACGCAACGCACATACATAACTTGGAAAAATAGCCTAATAAATGTTTATTTTATTATAAACTCTGGGGTTTTTACCGATAATACAGCTTTTTAATTCAGAAGGAGTTCATAATTAAAAATTTTGTCATATCATAGAAATTGAAAACATAAATCTTAATAGGTATGCGCAACGATTTTTGATCTAAGAATATTCGTTGTGTCTATTTATAGCATTTCGCACATTGCGTGGTGTGTTAGTCTTTTTCGAAGCTATATTTTTCGATGTTCCCTCATCTGGAATTACAAATTAGTACACAAAAAGATTTGATTTGACATTTGCGTCTTCTCTATTCATTAACATTCTCTGCTATTAGTCAATCGTCTTTTATTGTTCAACCAGAGAACTTAAAACAACAATTTTTCAGCCAACCAATCGAGCATCATACAAAATTCAATTTGCACCTTCTCATTGTTTTAAGTTCTCTGGTTCAGCCACAGATAATTCTCATCTCGCTCCTTCATTCTTCTGTTAGTGAGTATATGTATATAGAATACGCTCTCGCTACATAAACTGCTACGCAATATAATTTGAAGATAAAGGGTGGCAAATTACCGAACATACAATAAATGAAAAGAGGGAAACAACACCTTGAACACGGCGAATTCATGCAGTCTGGCATAGCCTTCAAAACCTATACTGAAAATAATTTCATACCACGACGTATGTACATATATGTATTTACTATTGTTTTAACGGTCCAAATGTAAGGTAGTGCAAAATTTTCGTAATGATGGGATTGCTTGCAGGGCAAGGCAAATGTCATTGGCAAACATTCTAATGCTAATCATTGCAAATATGTGAATATCCTGATACGATTGTCTCATAGGTTAGAAAGGTAACTTTCAAGAGAATCTAATGGCAGAGCATTTTTTCCCGCTTCAAAAGGAAAAAAGTAAACTGCGTGATGGCAGATATATGTTGGTGAGTAATACATAAAAGAGAAAATTTAGTTGAGGTCGATGATTATATGGATATGGAAAAAACAACGATTCAAAAAATATATATAAATAAATAAATGTAGGAACGACACAAGTGGTAATACTGAATGAAGGAAAAAGGAACGAAGTGTCCATCATAGCGGACTGAGAAATAGTAACGGTTGTAAATGTTTTATATTTTTTATTAAAAACCCACAAATGGGGGCTCAACAAGGATGTAGGGAATTTTAAAAATAACAGAAAAAACAAAAAAGAAGAATACAGACGTGCGGTTTTGAGAAAAAAAAGTGAAACGTCAGAGCGTATGTTAATTATATTATACCGAACTATAGTGACAATTTGTGACCGTCAGCAAAAGTACACAATCTACACAAACATAAGACGGCTGTTCTTAAATTTGGTCTAAATTTTTGGCAAAAGCCGCAATGAGTTTCGCTCTGGCGAGTGATTTGGATAGTAAAAAATGTACGCATTATATTGGCGGGAGGATTGAATGTTTTTCACAAGGATGCGATCGGCTGAGTTACGTGAAATTCTCAACATATTATTAATCACGTCAAACATTTCGTGCCGAAGTCCAGCCGCTAAGCAGCACAGTGCGTTAATGGGTCTACTTATATATAAAATATAATACTTACTTGTATATATAAAATATAATATCCTACCTATTTACAAATAAATGTATACGACTGTGATTTTGAGTTTA